TGTCTGCTCCTGGCTCTAACCAAGCTTGTTAGGTTGAGTGGCAACTATCAGAGTTGTTGACATGTAGGGATACAGTCTGCAGCAAGATGGAGAACATCTGGCTCAGGTGGCAGAGATGTTGCTGCTTCCCAAGTTAATGGCAACTCAGGTACCAGTGGTCCTGCCTGGGAAGTGAGACCCTGCCCCTCAGGGGCCCAGTCCTTTACCATTCTCCCCTTGAATTGGTGCTCTGGCCTCTGGCCAGCACTGGCCTATTTCTTGTAAAATGTCTTTTCTCTGAAATACAGCATGAGCATTCCTTACTACCAGCTGGTAGATTTGTAGTGGGTGCTGCCCAGTGAAAATTCTTCAGAGGTAGCTCTGCTGTGATAGAAATGATTGTGTGTGTGTGTGTGTGTGTGTGTGTGTGTGTGTGTGTGTGTGTGTGTGCGTGCGTGTGCACACGCGTGCGCACGTGTGCACACGCACGCACACACGCACGCTGGAAATTTCCTTGTGCTATAGTACTCTGATGCCCTCTGGTTCCAAGTAGCAAGTGGCCCACAATCCTCTGCAGGTATTTCTGCCTTATTTTGTCTTCACTTTAGCACAGTTTTTAGCACCCCCTTCTTTAGCTCCCAAATTCCACCTTGTATTGCACCCCCTTAAATTGGGCAGACTTTGCCAGGTCTTCTTCTTTCCTTTCCCTTCAAGAGATTCTAGGAGGCCTTGGCTAATTCTAACATAGCTCATTCTGATCCAGCTCTCTCTTGAAACTGCCTGTTCTACCTTGGAAGAGCATCCAGAGCAGTCTGTCCTTTAGGAAGCTGGCCTGTTGATCTGCAGCAGGCAGTATGGGAGGAGGGATGGCCCAAAGCAAAGGGGGACATGCTGTAGTAGCCTAAGAGTATATGTTGAGGGCCAGGTGCAAGTTCTCCCTATGTAAGTGCAAGGATCCTGTGTGAGCACCAGTTTGTGCCCTGCCTGCTCTGCTTTCCATCTACCTCCCTGCTTGTGGCTTTGGAAAGAAGCGGAGGATGGCCCAAAGCCTTGGGACCCTGCACTCACATAGGGAACTTGGAGGAGGCTCCTGGCTTTAGAACGGCTCAGCTCTGGCCATCGTGGCCCTCTGGGGAGTGAACCTGTGGATGGAAGATGTTTCTCTCTGGCTCTCTGCAAATCTCCCTCTCCAATAAAAATGAATAAATCTTTAAAAAGGAAAAGAGTGCAAGCTGAGCCCTGCTTTCCAAAGATGTGACATTGGCAATGGATGGTTCTCTGGTGGTTTCATGATAATACCTTGGGAGGTATTCAAGGTAAATGTGAAGATATGATCTTGAAGGAAGAGAAGGGAGCAAGAACTGACAGTGAGCATAGAGCAGGAATTAGGTTCTTAAACATGTCAGACCCTCTGACTGTGTCAAAGGCATGGGGTTGCAGCATGTCAGGCCTCGGTTGCACAGCAGACCTGCCACTCACAGAGGTGGATGTAGACAAATCAGTTGATGATACCTGGTCACCTGGTGTGCTGATGACCTGGGAGGCTCACTGGGAAGCACTTAGTACTGGAACTGGCATGCGCAGAGCCCAGCAGCTATTACTTATTGTTACCATGATCATTTTCAAATGAGGGAACAGTCTCAGAATCCCGCAGTGGGTGTGACACTCTCAAGCCAGCGTTCAGTCTGCTGCATTCCACTGGTAGTTTTGATGACTTGTGTGAGAGACTAGTCTATCAGGTCCCTCTCTGACCGATCTGAATGAACTTCCTGACAGTTTCAGCACTGAAACCAAGAACAAAAACAAAGGAGACCATCACCAGCCCTGCGTGCTCCAACATTTCCCAGCAGGATGTGCGCCTGGGATCCTTGGGATCTGGAATCATCTGGTCCCCTGGGAGGCAGCAGAGTGCAGCCGCTGCCAGCACAGGCAGAGTGGCAGGAGGGATTTCCACCTTGTGGTCAACAGCTGGGGATCTTAGCCAAGTCACTGCACTTACTCTCCCTGCATTCTCCCCACTTCAGTGACCTTATTCCAGCCCCATTGTTGTCGGGATGAATAGATGGGCACATTGATAAGCCGTCAGCGGCTGCATTCATAGCAGCTCTAGCTAGTGTTATTTTGACTTACCGACTGACAAAGACATTCTATGTCCTGGGAAGAAGTAAAGGAGTTGCCTTACCCACACACACAGCAGCAACGGAAATCCACCTGAGGAGCCAGCCTTTTTATGTTTGTCAGGACTGCTTTGCAGCTGGCACAGTTAGGCTAGAAGGGCAGCTCTCCTGAACTGGCTGGGTTTATGAGGATATGTCCCCTGTGCCCACCTGCAGAAGCCACCTCCACCTTCCAGAGGGGTCTGGCAGAGCTGCCTAGGAGTCACAGTTGTGGTCTCCAGGGGTCCTAATGACAGAGAAGCAGCCTATTGAGGCCACAATGGCATCCACCTGAGCCCCATTCCCCAGCCCTCCCAGGGCTCAGCCCTCCTTAGGAACTTGGGCTGATCTGAGTTCTGGGGTCTGGATTTCCCTGTGCCCCTCAGAGTGAGCTTGCTTCCCCAGGCACCCAGTTCTGTGGGGTTGAATCCCCTCCACCCCCTCCCCCACTCCACAAGGATACAGGCCACCCAGGTGCCCCCTGGCTACCTTCACCAGATCCCACCTGATTATGATTATTAAGAAGATGTTTTGGGATCGTCTTGGCTTTCTCCCGTTTCACCTGCTGTGGGCTAACTTTCCTTTCTCCTTGCTTAGATTGGTATAGACTCCACACCACAGAGGAGTGCTGACCTTAGGCGGCCTTACCTCCAGAGCAGCCTTTGTTCCACACTGCCTAGCATGTGCTTAGAGAGGTGGGCACCACATGGAACATCTTGACTCCAGGGGTCAGACTTACACCAGGAACCCTCCCTGCCGCAACACCCCCATCCCATAGTCACTCCCAACAGCTGTGGAAATCCAGGCACAGAGAAGTAACTTTCTCTGAGCAGCACAGTGTGTGTGGGGGGTCATGCTAGCGTCATGTTAGCAAGGAAGGGAGCTGAGAAGAGAGGAATGGGGAGGACTCACGATGTCACAGCTTGCCTAGAACCTATCCCCTCAAAAAGATGGGGCGGGGTGGGAGGGAGAAGAGGCCAGGGAAGGGACAGGTGCCATCAGGCTTGGCAGGCAGGATGTGACAAGGTGCATTCCTTGGGTAGAGGAGCAGTAAGGCTCCATGGAGACGTGTCCTGGTCATTCTCTGTCATTTCATTCAGAGCTCCCAGGGGAGTCCAGGCTACCCCAGTCAGGAATCCTCACACAGCCTCCAGGGGAGTAAGACAATGAGGGTGGCCTGAGGCCCAGGATTCCTCTGATGCCAGCTGCTTTTTTGCTTTGCAACGAATCATCTGAGATGCCCCAGCCTGGCCCTTGGGAGCATGGACTTTCAGCTATTATTTCCTTATGCCTTCCTGGAGTGGGCTGGCCATTCCACTCTCCCCCATCCTTCAGCACTTTGCTCCTCTCCATTCCCAAGAGAACCTGCATTTCCTTTGCCCACGTCCTCTGCCTAGGGGGTTTGGCTTCCTCTATGTAAAGCATCTTGCAAGCTGTCATCAAATCTTCAGAATGATTTGATAGGTACAGGAAGTTGCACCAGACAAAAGATGGAAATGAAAAAAAAAAGAACCAGGTTTCTAAGAAAAATGTATCACGGCTTCCCACAGGGTTTGTTTGCACACCATATGTCCAAATATCTGAGGAACGATAGATACATCTATCTTATTTGGAACTCTTGTGTCTGACTCTCCCAGCCATCTCAACCAGAAAGAAAATAGATCTTTATTTAACCTGCTACTCACCGGCTTCCTGATGATCTATAGGAAAAGCCATCTTTTCTTTTACCGCATGCATCAGCTATCACTAAATAACATCTCTCCCTCCTCTGCTGTCCTTCCCACCCCACCCCACCCCACCTCAGCTTTATTTCTCCCGGCTACGAGTTTAGTATATTTATGGTGCATGAGTCATCAAGCCGCCGCCTGATTGGACAGAAGGCGAGCACCCCTGAGACCGTCAGTCAATTACAGCTATTCTCAGCTTCATTCATAGATTTATTAGCTTGCACACACGGAGAGAAATTCATTCGGCAAAGTTCATTCATAAAAATTTCAACATTCTGCGTGTCATCCCGCACATCTCAGCCTTCTGCTGCGAAAGGCTCCGGAACGAAGCTCCAAGAGAGATCCTGGAGGGAGGGGTGCTCGGAACCAGGGTGTGCAGGCTGGGAGGCAAGCAGAGCAGCACGCAGGGCTCCCAAGTCAGAGAGGGAACAATGCGGGGCAGCGCCCCTCGCTAGTCCCTGGGGCCAGATGCCATCTGCCCGGACCGGGAGAGCAGCCCACAGAACCAGGGGACGCTGGCCCAAGAGCCCCGGCCTCTTTCCTACGTGTTACTCCCCCTCCCCCCCCACCCCGCCCCGCCTTTTAAATGAACAATTACTGGAACAAATAAAGGGTTAATAAGACCAGTCATTGCCCCGCCCAGTGGGAGCCGAAAGGAGCAGGTTTGAAAGTTCCTGTTTGCGGAAGGGGGGGCCGGGGGTTGGGGCCTGGAGGCGTGGAGGCGTGGGGAGTGGGGGCACTCAATATTTCCTCCCGGCTCCTGCAAGGCTGGTGATGCGGCGGAGCCGGCCGCCCGGCGCCCGGCCCCGTTCTGCGCCGAAGAATTAGCGGTGAGCGATCCCTGCCACCGGGGGCCTGGGCGCAGCCGGTGCCACCAGGGAGCCCACGGCGAGAACCCCGCGCGCCGCCCCGAACACGGAGCAACTAGAATCCTAGCAGAGGAGGAGGGGTTTTCTGGCCCTGGGCTGGCGGTGCTTGTTGCGGGGCCGGGGGTGGGAACCCAGGCAAGCGAGAAAGGAGTTGGAGAGGAGGCGGCCGCGAGTTGTACGGGCGCTGGACGCTGGATGCCGGTGTCGTACCTCTTTCAGACGAGCCGGCGGTGTATGCCACCGGATCCTGCTTCAGCCCCACCAAGGCTATGCGAGAACGCGTCCAGGACTGGCCGGCAGGACTCGTGCTGTATGTAGGACCCTTTGGGCACCCCGGCATGCTGCACAGGGCCAAGTACAGCCGCTTTCGGAACGAGTCCATCACGTCTTTGGACGAAGGTGGTCCCGGAGGCTCGGCAGGGAACAAAGGCTCACCGCAGCCTCCCTATTCAGCCCTGGCACCCCACCTGCCCGCGGAAGATGCTACCCTGCCGGCCCAGGAGAGCCCCACCCCGTTGTGCACCTTGATCCCTCGCATGGCAAGCATGAAGCTGGCCAACCCAGCCACTTTGCTGAGTCTGAAAAACTTTTGCTTGGGTACCAAAGAGGTGCCCCGGCTGAAGCTCCAGGAAAGCCAGGACCCGGCTCCCAGCAACCCTGCTTCCCCCAGCACCGGTCTAAGCCGGGCCGGCTCTGCACTGCCAGCACAGACTGACCCGGTGGTGCCCAGGGCGGCAGCCTTAACTCCGGCGGCTTGCCCGTTCCCTGGCCCTGGAGAGCCAGTCTCCAGGGCCCGGCAGGACAAACAGCACTTGCAGCACCTGTTGGGGACCGGCCTGAACTACTCTGTGAGGGTAAGTGGTCTCCCTCTAGGAACTCCAGGGGAAGAGGGCAGGCCTCCTTTCTGATTGCCCCAAGAAGCTGGGCATTCTTTTCCTGGCTGGCTGGCTGGCTGGCTGGCTTCTAGGCTTGGACCGGAATTTGTGGCTCTGGACCAAGGGGAAGGTGAGCTGGCTCTACAAAACTCCCTACAAATATCTGGTTCTTACTGGAGTTACAAAGCCTCTGGTTTAAGGACATGATCTGGTGCTAGGTAGTTGAGAGGTATAGGGGTGACTTCTGCTAGGGGCGCTGAGATGGCACTTTCTTGGCCCCACTGGACCTAGCATGCTGGCTAAGGGTTTGAGAGTCTGACTTGGTGATTGACACCTGGGAGGTTACACTGGTCATTGTGTTTTGGGTGACCAGAGCAGAGATTTGTGTGCTGGAGTAGCAGGGATTGTAAAAAGACGATAATTCGGCATTTAACAAACACTTGTCTAAACCTGAGCGAGGCTCTGTGTACTCAGGTCTCGTCCAGGTGTGGGCTGTGAGCAGCACAAGGTCCTGACTGGTCTCAGCTTTGTGTTTTCCCCAATCAAGATCTGGGTAAGCCAGGGTTTAGCTCCTGCGCCGCTGTGGAGCTGGAATTTCAGTTGGAGAGACCAGTGAATGCAGGTGAGAAGAGTAACAGAATATTGCTTGGCGATAGATAGCTGACTGAGTTAAGGAAAAAGGGAAGAGTTCTGTCTGAGCTGAAAGGGAAAAGTGGTGGTTATGTACTTTGTGTTTTATTAATTTAGTTTGGTTTTGATGTTATTTACGTAGTTGGAAAGTATATATGCCCGTGTGGACTGTGGATCACTGATTAGGGTGATGAGGTGCGAGGTATGGAGGAAAGTGGATGAGACAATTGCTTCCAATTATTTTTTTCCTGTAACTGTGGGAGGGAAGAAAGGAAGGGTGAGGGTTGCTTCCAGCAGCTTTACAGCATCAGTACCTGAGGATGGGGGACTGTCATATGATGTCATCTTAGGATCCCCCACGTGGAGCATGTTCTGAGGATACTGCCTAAGTCGTTTCAATAATTCTAAGATGCCATTGATTTAGTTGCTCCAAGGAGGCACCTTAAAGTATCCACTTGCCCAGATACTTGTCAGAACTTGGCTGTGAAAGTTGTCCAGTTTGTTCTATCCTCCATCCTCTGTAAGCCTCAATGAGCTGACTGTCACGTTGCCCATTTACTGGACATGCTGTCCACTGCACAGGCATCAGCAACTGAGGAGGCCCAGTTCTGATACATGCATTCCAATGTCAGACCACAGATCCTTTGGTTTTCCCCATGGTTGGAGTTTTGCATCCAGTGATCCAGTTGACGGGGAAGGAGCCCCAAAGAAAAGTCGGCTGAGGTGACCCCAAAAGTGACCCGTGAGTGTGCCAGCCAGTGTGAGGTCTGGCTCAGTCCATCACCTACATCAGCCTACATACACTCTGGTGGTTGCAATCACCCTGATCAGTTTCACCCGGTTAGTTCTCTGCCCAGTCCCATCTCTTATGCCAACAGTGGATGCTGTGACGCAGACTAACCCTGCCCACCATATACTCGGCCTTCATGCACACTAGCAGGAACTGCAGCCTAGTTGAGGGAGATTCCCAATAAGCCCCACCAAGCTCACCCTCAACCCTGGATCCTGAACATGGTGGTATGTACACCAGATTGGTCCAGTCTGTCCCACATCCCATTCAGCTCTTGTAGAATCAATGGGTGCTGCAGTTGACCTGACCCCAATATTTAGTGCACAGTTTTGCCAGCAGGTGCTGCTGCCTAGTTCAGCTGTGTCTGCCCCAGCCCTGGTTCTTATGCTCACTGGTGTGAGCTGCAGCCCATTAGAAGGTGACCACAATTTCCCTACTAGGCCCACTCCCAGCTCTGAATCTTGCACTTTCCAGGTGGTACTGACAAGACATGCCCTCAGTCCCCAAACTTGCCAACTATTGTTTTGGCAAAACCTGACCAGCCTGCACTTACTTTGACTTATGCATGTGCCAGTAGATACAGTGGCCTTGACCCAGCCCGTTTCTTTCCCAAATCTAGCTCACATGCAGGTTGATGGGTATTATGGCCCTTCCCAGTGATCTGCCTCAAGTCCCAGCTTTCATAATCACAAACAGGAGCAGTGGCCCATCAGGGGAACCCCTACAGCCTCCCTACAAGGTCCCCTTGTGGGATCTTGTGCAAACTGCTGGGAGCTGTGGTCTAGTCTGGCATGGCTTACCTTATATTGGTATTCACTGGCAGGTGTTATAGTCTGGCTCTGCTAGGCCTGCCCCAGTTCTGGCTCATGCTGGTGGGTACTGAAGCCTAGCCTGAGCCAGTCAGCCCCCAGTCCTGGCTCTAATGTGAACTGGTTGGTGTTGTGGTCCAATCTGTCCTGTATCCCATTCTGGCTGTCACATCTAGTGTGTCCTGTGAACTGTCCCAGCCTGCTCCCAGATTAGACCCATATGGTATGCTTGGTGAGTACTGCAACCTGGCTGCTCCCAGACTTGGTTCATGGACTGCATCCTGACAGAGGAGTTTCCCAAGCTCCTACATCAAGCCACCTCCCATCACAGATCTTGTACATACCTAGGGGTGCTTGGTGCAGCCTAACTTGGGCTACCTCTTGTCCCAGTGTTCACCGGCAGGTGCTGCAGCCTTGTCTGACTGGCCAACACTCTTTCTGGCTCTTACTGGAGTATGCTATAGCCCAGCCCCACTTGGCCCACCCCCACTGAGAAGGTGTACTTTGGAAGAAATATGGGATCGGCAGAGGGGGAGATTCCTGGCAGGGCCAGAATAGGAGAAAAGTTACTGGGTTGCAGGGGAGCATGGTGCAAGCTAATAGCAAGATGGGGGGTGGTGAAGCATCTTAGAGTCATGAGCATTCAGGGGAGGGACAGCACATGATCAGTGCTCAAAACAAGGGCGAGTTAATGAAAGGCAAACACTGGTGGGTGTTGGGCAGCTTGAGGATGGGGGAAGGCTGACGGACATTTGACCCATGCTGCGATTGGTAAGTGAGAATCCTTGCAGGTTTGTAGGAAAACAGGACTTGGTCAAAGTCATTTTACAAAGATAAGTCTTGAGGCATTTTGGCATAGATTGAAGTGGGGAAAAGTGAGAGATTTGGAGGCCAGTGAGAAAGATAGTTTGGGAGTTCCGGTGTGAGGAGTGGAGGGTGTGGGATAAGGTACTAAGAGGATATAAATTCAGGATAGTGAGAAGCCACAGTGACTGGGGGAACTGAGCAGATAATTTCAGGTAGTAATACAGAGGAGACTAATGAGTATTCTTGAGGGAAGCCTACTCATCAGTAATGACTTTATTAATGTCCTCTGCAGGTTGTGGGTGATTTCTTGTGAAGGGCAGTGAGGAGTGAAGCTTAAGTTCCACGTATAAAACCTGGATGACGTTACTGATGCCAGTGGATAGACCAGGAGCTGGGAAAGTGTAGTTGGAACTCACACTAAGTTTGCTTTTGGCCCCTATGTTTTGCTGTTGATGGGAGCCAAGTGGAGCTCAAGCACAACTGGGCAGTGGTGTGAGAGCATCATGTCAGTGAGAAGTCCCATCTGGAAAGGTGAGAGCTAGCCTAATCATTGCATCCCAAACAATGTCTCAAGGCAGATTGAATCATGAAGGCTGGCAGAACAGGCCTGCAGCAGCCTTGACAAATGGATTAACTCAAACCTCTCAGCAAGGTAAGTGAGTGGGTCACTCAGCTGGGATGTGGCTTATAATGGAGGTCCCCTGATGGACATATTATCATTTATCAGGCATAAGCACATGTCCTCATGGCAAAAGCTGAACCATCCAGATCTGGGCTCTGTGTCCCTCCCTGCCCATCATCTTCACCTTGAACCTTCTGCCTCACCTCTTCTTCACTCCTGTACCCTCCTGCTTACCTTGCTGCACCCACACTCCCATATGGGTTTAAAAGTGAAGAGCTTTGCTGTGTGATCTCATTTCCCTGGCAAGTGCCTTGGCTGGCCTTTTAGATTTTTAATGAGGACACCATCTGCCTTTTCATAGTGATAATAACTGACCCCAGGAAAAGTGCTGACCCCATGGCTCAGATGACCCTCATCCTATCACCAGTAGCTGTGATGTGTGACACCAGGTGATTTCCTCTTGTATGAAGTCTGAATACATGGAAGAGCTTACCTCACTAATTTGTAGAGTCCTAATGTTGAAAGATGGTGTAGACTTAAAAGTTACCAAGTTCAGTGCCTCTCTGAGGCAACTGAGCTGCAGAGAAGGGTTTTATTTAAAAAAAAAATGTGTTGGTTCAGAAGCTGAGTTGGGTCTAGATGTGAATTCTCCATTGTATTCATTTTAGTTATGGTTTCCTTGTTCGCTTACATTGTGCTCCTCAGCATTCTTCTGAAATGCAAACCACATTTAAATAAATGGAAAAAATCCAACACCAGCATATTAGTTTACAAGGGAAAATGTACCAAGGGAATTGATATTGCAATTTCCACAGAGGAAGATTTCAATCCAAGGTTGCTTGTGGTGATGGACTCTGAGCAGGCAAATGAGAATCTTAATGGCTCATGCAAGTGGTGTTGGCAGAAGCAGGTCCCATTTTACCTCCTTCTCCATGTCGTGTGACTTCCCCTCCTTGCCCATTCATTTGTTTAGTTATTGAACAAGTAGTGTTTTGAGCCAGTCACATGGCAGGAACTGTTCTAGGCACTGAGCATCAGTGGACGAAGCAGAGCAGGTCTTAGCCGTGGTGGGCCCGATGCTGCAGTGAACAGATACAGGTGCTGTTGTCTAGAATAGATGTAGTCCACAAAACCACAGTGTTGTGATTACCCAGGGTTTTTTCCTTTTTAATTTAAGAATTACTGGGGGGAAGAGGGAGTTGTGTGTGTGTGTGTGTGCTGTGGCATAATGGGTATGCCACTATGAGAAGCTGGCATTCCATACGAGCACCAATTCAAGTACTGGCTGCTCTACTTCTAATGTACCTGAGAAAGTGGTGGG